CCAGGAGGCAGAGCTTGCAGTGAGCTGAGATCCTGCCACTGCACTCCAGCCTAGGCGACAGAGCGAGACTCCGTCTCAAAAAAATAAAATAAAATAAAAATAATGACCTTATTCTACATAACCATTGTATCACCACTGCTAAGAAAATTTAATTCTCTAACAACCAGTCCATTTTCACATGTCCCCAGTCATCCCAAAAACCTTTTATGACTTTTTTTTCTAACTAGGAACCAATCAGTATTCAGCACACTTGACTCTTTTAAATTCTTTCCATTTCTGTCCCCAACTTTTTATTTGTATGACATCGATCTTTTGAAGAGATCAGGCCATTTGCCTAGTAGATTGTCCCACGTTAGGAATGTTTCCTTTTAGTGTCATTTACCTGAATTTCCTGAAGTTCTTGTTCGATGGAAGTTCTTCTTAAATGCATTTCTTCCCTTGAATTTCTTAAGTTAGGACTAAAGGCTTGATTAGATTCATGACAACAAGCACTTAAAAACACTCCAGAGGACACATTGTAAGTGTACAAGGTTGATGAATTTTTACAAACTGAACACATCCAGGTCAAAAAGCAGAACATGACCAGAAACCAGAATCCCCTCCCAGGGCTCCATGCTCACATCTATTCACTAACCCTCACACTCCAAGAGTGACGGTTGTCCTGACTTCTAATATCACCAATTAATTTTGCTTATTTTTGTTCTTTACATAAATGGAATCATTCAGTATGTACTTTTGTGTCTTGAATCTTTTGACATTATACTTAGGCAGTTCGACCATATCATTCCATATAGTTGTGTTGCAAGTTCATTCATTTTCATCGCTCACTCTATGATATGGTTTGGCTGTGTCCCCACCCAAATCTCATCTTGTTAATTGTAGCTCCCATAATTCCCACATATGGGAGGAACCCAGTGGGAAATAATTGAATCATGGAAGCGGTTTCCCCTGTACTGTTCTCATGGTAGCGAATTAGTCTCATGAGATCTGATAATTTTATAAGGGATTTTCCCTTTAGCTTGGTTCTCGTTCTCTCGTCTGCCACCATGTAAGAAGTGCCTTTCGCCTTCTGCTGTGATTGTGAAGGCTCCCCAGCCATGTGGAACTGTGAGTCCATTAAACCTTTTTTTCTTTACAGATTACCCAGTCTTGAGTATGTCTTTACCAGCAGTGTGAAAACAGACTAATACACTCCATAACCTCAATATTATTGGCATTTGGAGCTAGATCATTATTTGCTGTGGAGAGCTGTTCTGGGCATTGTAGAATGTTTAGCAGCATCCCTGGCCTGTATGCACTAGATGCCAGTAGCATTCTCCCTAAGCAGTTAAACACAACCCAAAATATCTGAAGACCACAATTTATGTATCCATTCTGCTCTTGATGGACATTTGGGTAACTTCCAAGTATGGTGCTATTATCAGTAATGCTGCTATGAACATTCTAGCACATGCCTTTTGGCAGATAGATATCTATCTACATTTCTGTTGAGTTGTTCATCATTCTTACTTGAAGAATGATGGATTGGAGTAGAATCTAAGGGTAGAATTGTTGGGCTTTAGTTTAGCTTTAATAGATAATGCCAAGCAGTTTTCCAAAATGGTTGTACTGATTTATACTTTCACTAGGAAGGTTATTTAGGAGTTCCAGTTGTTTCTCAACATCACCAGTACTTTTTAATTTTTTCACACTGGAGGGTGTTGTGACATTTCATTTCCCAGATGACTCATGAATTTGACAACCATTTCATGTGTTTTTTGGCTATTTTTTAAGCTAACATTTAATGACTGCTTTCTATGTCCCATTCCCAGCCTCCCTGCTTTATGTCTTGTCTTGTCTTTTTTTTTGTTTGTTTGTTTTGTTTTGTTTTTTTTTGTTTTGTTTTTCTGAGACAGGATTTTAATCTGTTGCTCAGGCTGAAGTGCAGTGGTACAATCATGGCTCACTGCAGCCTTGACTTCGTAGGTGAAAGTGATCTTCCTACCTCAGCCTCCTGAGTAGCTGGGACTGCAGACTCATGCCACCATGCCTGGCTCTTTTTTTTTTTTTTTTTTTTTTTAAGAGATGGGGTCTCTCTTACTATGTTGCCCAGGCGGGTCCCAAACTCCTGGGCTCAAGCGATCCTCCTACCTCAGCCTCCCTATATGTTGAGATTACAGGTGTAAGCCCCACACCTGGCCATAAGTCTTATTTAATGCAACAATGCTACCCCATTCTACAGATTGGTAAGTGGTATCTGGTAAGAAGAGGATCTGGGATTCAGCCCTCAAATCCTGGGGCATGCATCTTAGCTTTCCCCATCCCACCTGGTGAGGTGGGTCACCCTAGTCACACTGAGATCTAACCAGTTGTTTGCAGATGGCTGCAGGACCATCTGCAGAGGTTCTGTGAAGACCTGACATTCCAACGGAGAGAAGGACAGGAAGTAAATGACAGGGCCAAGGGGAGGAAGCAGGTGGTCCCAGGCTATAGATAACGTAAGAAGAGAAAGCCTGCTGCTGGAGCTTGTGAAGTGCGAGGCACAAATGGCCAATTAAGAGTGTGTCTATTTACAGGAAAATCAAGAGAAGCAGGAACAAACAGGGCTGTAGGAGAGATGGGCTGGCAGTGAGGCCAGGTGTCTGTGTAAACAGGCATTGGCTGGGTAGAGGGAACACAGGAGCCAGGCTCCAGGGAAGAGGTTTCCTTTCTCTGGCAGTTCTGGCTGAGGCCCCAGGAGAGACATCAAGCGAATATTTTCTGGAGCTCCCCCAGGCGTGGGTCCTTGTAGAGCTTTTCCTCCAGAGCCAGGTACTTCAGTGGGGCCAGTTCCTTGTGTCTGAAGTCAGAGGGGCAAGAAAAGAGGGTAAGGGGTAACAAAGCTGGTGGTCCAGCCTCCTACTGGGTTCTCTCTGCCTGCCCTCCCTGCTCACCGATTGAGGCGCTGCTCCAGGATGCGAATGCGGAACATGGCCTGAGAGCAGTAACTCAGGTACAGGTCTTCATCCTCAGGTGTCAGCGTCACCTGGTTCTCCTGGTACCACTGCTGCTTCTTTTGCAGCTCCTGGGTCTCCTGTGGTCATAGGGAGGACAGAGAA